CCTGGCAAACACACAAGCCTAGGCAACCCTACGGGTTCTGCTGCCAAAGCTCAGGAAGCAGGACAGGCAGGGTTCTTTAGCTGCAGCAGGAGAGTGCAACCAGCAAATCCAAACTGTGTGTACTCTGCAGGGCAAATGTCTGGGCTTTTTCAACAGCAAATTGTGAAGAAAAACAAACAATGGAGAGGGAAACCAAAGATTTTAAAGTAATTAACAGACAAGTTCTTAAAAAAAGGAAGGCTTGAACTGGAATGTGACAGTAAAGGAAACCCAGACAGTGACAACTGTGAGATATGCTTTCCCTTTGGGAAGAAAGGAGAAAGTTGAAATAATCCAGGATCTAAAGACAGAAATAAGACAGGATCTAAAGGCAGAGGGCATTTGAATTTTTGCCAAATTTCCCTTACTTGAAGTCACAAGGATATTTACTTTCTAACAGCCCACAGACTGTTATAAACAAAAATGATAAGTACAGGTTTAGAGTTTGCAGCAAAGGATGTCTGAGCACTGTGACTAGATGTTAAAAGTGTTATCTTTTCTTGTAAATGGCCATTACTTAGTACCCAGTTTCCAGTAACTTCACAGCTGTGCAATCATGTGTAGTTCGCAGCCCCATCTTTATGTTGGATTTAATAACTTGTGTTGCAGTCTTTGAAAATGAGATACCACAGACAGTACACCAGACTTTTAAAGATGGAGATTTATTACACCTTATCTACAGTCAGGACCCAGTGAGCAAAGAACGTACAGAGAACTTGGGTACTAGACCAGCTTGTCTTGTGACATGATCGCCCTCTAGTGATTATTTCAAACTAAGCTCGATGTTCATGCTTAAACTATAAAAGCTTACTGAGCAAAGGTACCAGGTTTGGGCCTGATGAGTATCTAAGGGTCTAACTTGTTCAACAATCTGTAAAGAATGCCTTTTAGCAGAACAGAACATAGGATCCAATCCTTACCTCACTCAATTAAGATCTTCAGCATGATGTGTGCTCGTCATGTAATCTTTTCATCACCGTTGGCTGTGAAACGCTAAAAGTTATGTTTTGACAAATCGAAAGTGATGCATTCACCATATGTCAAAGCAGAGAGAAATTATCCACGGGATATGATATTATCTATTCATCACCTAATTGAAATACACTGATAAAAGTTTAAACCTTGGTGGGGTGGTAAAGGGAGAGAAAGGAAAGATGTGTGAGAGAAAGGATTACCTCAGACATCTGTGTGAATAATGACATTCTGTATAATTATAAGTACATTGAAGGAAGGAGGAAAAGAGATCTGAACCTCTGGAACTGAAGATGTTTGTGATAGTCAAGAAGCCTGTAATACAAGCATCAGGGAGAAAATGGGAAGGGTGTGCTTCTTCTTCATTGACAAAGGCATGCATGAATGTGAGTAGGGAAAGCAATGGCAGGGGCTTTAAAGTCTTCTAAAGACTCTGAGAGAGGCAGGGAGAAAGAGGAATGGAGGATAATGAGATGCTTATGCATTTTTGTTATTGCTAAAAAGAACATATTTTAAGAATCTGAAGACAGAATTTGAGAGTTTTACCCTGAGCAGATAGACTAAGTGATTGCAGGTTAAGTGGCTTAAGCAGCAGACATTTCTGTCTCACAGGCCTGGGGTCTGGAAGCTCAAGGTTAGGGTGCCAACATAGCCCAGACATGGATCCTTCTCAACAACAGAAGGCCAGTTGCCCATTGTATTTCATGTGCCAGAATGAGAGGAAAATTTATCTGATATCCTGGGTGCTAGGCACTGATCTAATTTCCAAAGACACTGCTCTCATGACGCAGTCACCTTTCAAGAGCCCTACTTCCCAATACCATCACTCTGGGGCAAGGACTTAAGCTTATGGCCTGAGAGAATACAAACACTGGGTCCTCAAACCTTCCTTCATAAACAGAAGAGTCACTAGGGACCAAGCCTTTGCCTCCCCTGCCTTCTTGTCTTTCCATCTTATATTTATCCCCAATATAATGCCAGCTTCCTGGCTTCCCCAGGAAACAGAAAGTCCTAGAGCATTTTGTCTATGGCGTCTTTAATCTTGTCAGCCCTTATTATATCCACAAACTATCATAGTCTCTAGATTAGTAAATACTCTTTAGGATTATTTTACTCCAGTTCCTATTACTCATTTACTTGTATCATTTTTCAGACAAAGGAGGCATGGACTCTTCAGTGTGCCTAGGTCTATTTTGTAACACATGTCTAGATAACTCTATTACCTCAAGGTCAATGGTATAATTTTCTGAGATCGCCAAGGGGACAGACAGCTTCTATTGCCTTCCCTCAAACATGCCTGAACCCACCTGTCCTCAGAGGCTTGAATTGTTCCTGGTTATCTTGTGCTGTCCCTTTGAGCTCCTAACATTTTGATCAATGTCACCATGTAGGTGAATTCAGGCTGCTATCACAGAATACATAGGCTGTGAGGCATAAGCAAGAATTGTGTGTGCCTCACAGCTAAAAAAAGCTGGGGGTCCACGATCAAGGTCCGAGCAGATTTGATCTCCAGGGAGGGCTTGCTCACTTCATGGCTTGTCATGAGCTGCAGTCTTGCTGTGCCCTTACAGGGTGGTAAAAGCAAGACTACTAGCTTTAAGAATGCTGATTTCACAATGAGATTTCTCCTGCCATTTATACTGCATCTAAGGTTAATTACCTTCCTCTGAATGCTATACCACTGGGGATTATGCCTATGAATTTGGGGGTGAGGGAGACAGAGCCATGATGAACTTTATCCTAGCCTGTTCACATGTTCTGCAGCCAGTACATATGTGTTTTTTTCTGTCAAGAATGTAGAGTCCCAAAAGAGCAGGGACATTGCTTTTTCTTTTTTCGGTGCCTAAAACAGTCCCTGACACATTTCCCCTCTTTTCCTTCCTCTATTCTCTGAAATCAAGAGCTAAATGTAATTTCTTTAAACTCTGAGACTGATGAGGAGAAGGCGAGTAGGTCAAGGAGAAATACAGTAGAGTGTGCTGAACATGAGCCCAGCATGCTTGAATACCAGGACCCTCACACTCGGGAAGAATAAGAAGACCCATGAGTCATGAAGGTCTCTTGGAAGTGGTAATATGTGGGCTGAGATCGGCACACTGGAGAAGGGAGGGCTTGCTGAGGAAGATGGAGAAGGACCGTGACCAGCACCAAGTTCTAGAAGTACATGACAACTGGAAGTGTGACCCATTTGGGTAAATGATATCAGGAAAAGACATAGAAAAGAGGAGCATACAGGCCGCATAGGACATATCCTTCTGGAAATATTCTGGTTGGAAGGGGGCATAGAACCAACCACAGCAAAGATCTGCTGATGTCATAGTTACAAGCTGTAGTTGAAGAGTAAAGTAGCCTTAGACTCCAAGTGTCTTATCGTCATTAGCAAGAAGCATCTAACAGAACACAGCTTTTTCTTAGGTTAACATATTATAACCTTATCTTTAACTCCTTTGGTCAGTAAGAAGGCATATATTCAGAAACTGTCTCATTGCCCATTTAATTAAACTCAATGATTTTTTAAAATGTCTGTGAAGATAATGGGGCCTATACTATTTTAGAAGCAATGAATAAATCATCAGGAAAAAAGTGGAACTGAACAAAAGAATGATGAAAGAGTCATTTTTAGGATAAAGTTGAGTGAACTTTAAAAGTAAAGGACTTTCTAAAATACATATTCTGGACTCTGTGCTGGCAGTGTCATGCACAGAAATGAATACAGGTTTGTCATGACTCTTCTGGAGCAGAGTCCCTGGTTTTGAAGTCAAATGTTATGTACTACTTTGAGTCTAGTTCTTGCTATCCAGTGTCTTAACTTCTTAAACTTTCCCCACTCACAACCCCTTTTTGTTTTAATTCCAACTTCAGGTATATAGGTATAGAAAATAGGGATGCAAACTGAGCAATTATCAATAACAATTCATATAGAGATTTGTTTTAAAACAAATCTTCACATAAATACAGTTTTACCATTTATTAGAGATAAAAGCAAATCTGCATACTAATGAGATAGATGGGCTTATATTACAGAAAAGTAATATTTGTTGAATATTTGATATGAAACTGGGCATTTGGCTCACACTTGCTATTCTAGAACTTAGAAGGCTCAGGTGCAAAAATGGCCATGGATTTGGGGACAACCTGAGCTATATAATGCGTTCCAGAGCAACCTAAGCTAGAACATAAACAAAAGTAAAGAGCAGCAAAACAACCAACCAAGACCCAAAACAACAAAAACCAATCATTACTATAAGACATCATCAATGCTTTTCAAAGTTGGTCCATGTTTAATTTTATAATTCTCTACATTGAGAATGCTGCCCTCATTTGCATAATACATAGTACAAACCAGGAGAAGTTTATTTAGGACTTTCAGAAACTGTAGGAAATGCTATCTTAATCTCAAGGTGAATGTCATTGAACAATTTTTCATGAAATGCAAGTCAGCCATTCACACAGCATTAAAATTTTTTGACACAGTACAATTTGAACACACATTAATTTGATACATGATGAGGAAGGTAGAAGATACTGTCTTCATTTCTTGTAATTAAACCATTTTGTTTCTATAAGAGATAAAAGCTTGGTATATTCGGCAAAAGCACTGTAACTCATAACAGACGGTATTCTGGGATCTGAGCCAAGGTGTTTCATTCAGCATTTGTTACTGTCACATAGGATGTGATGAGAAGAGTACTGCAGAATGCATATGTCATGTGTTCAGGACCAAGGCTACAGTGAAGTCACACGATGCAACATTTGCGAGTGTCAGATACACCTCGGATTCATTATGCATTTCATTTTGAATTAAGTTTTGACTGTTTTATGTCCAGTAACCCTTGAGTGTTGACCATTATCTTACAGTTTTCATGCATAGATGTGGAACCAGGACCCAGAGTTTTAGAAGCCAAGTCAAGTAAAGTAGACTTTGAGAGTGGAATGCTTGAAGAGGTTGCTTTTAGTATTCAGATTTGTGTGTGTGTGTTTTTCTTTAGGTCAATGTGAGCCAATTACTCTGGAACTCTGCATGAATTTGCCCTACAACCACACACATTATCCAAATTACCTTGGCCACAGGAGTCAAAAGGAAGCATCTATCAGCTGGGAGTCATCTCTCTTCCCTGCACTTGTTCAAACCAACTGTTACAAATACCTCATGTTTTTTGCTTGCACCATTTTGGTTCCAAAGTGTGATGTGAATACAGGCCAACGCATCCCCCCTTGCAGGTAAAATAATGGACTGTTCACATGCTATCTCAGAGAGAACCAAAAGACCACAAAGTTGAATTCAGACAAAATAAATATTGCTAAGGACTCTGAATGTTAACAAATTCAAAAGATAAAGAATTAGGAATAAAATAAGTATTAGAGTAAGAATTCATCATTCAAACACCAAACATGGAGAGTGTTAACTTCCTTCCATGACAGGTCACGTGCTTTTATCTGTTTCATTTTGGTAGATCACAAAGTATCCTTTTAGATGTAAGCTAAGGTTGGGGTGCTGCTCAGTGATAGAGCATCCTTTAGACTGTATAAGGCTCTGTGTTGGATCACTGGCACCCCAAAGTAAAGAAAAGCAAAGGAGTGTGCGAGGGAGCTGAGGAAGGGGCTATGTCTTCCACTTTGTCTGGAAACACTGATGTATTCATATATTAGATTAATTAAATGTGTCCTTCACCAGTGTGTTTAAGATGCTGTCCTCTGATAATGCTTACAGGTTAGTGTGACTCCCTAGGGAGATAGGATAGCTTTTTTGTAAATGGGACAGTGATGCTTATCACTGACATTTTCCTGATTGTCCCAATGAAAGAAAGATAGCATCTCAAGGACAGAGCTTGAGCCTTGGGTCTGAACAATGTCCTGAGGTCCAGTACTATTGCTTTTGGAGTCCATTGTCAGTTTTGAGTCTTCTCTAACTGTTTTGTGCTCTTAAGACAAATTACTCAGCCTCTCAGGTCCTCAAGTCCTTTCACTGGTGAAATAAGTATTTTGTTTGTTGAGTTTCAGTAAGAGTTCATGAAAAGGTTGTGAAGTTAAATAAATGCCAAGGCCCCCAAATTGCATGAAAGCTCTTTGGTGACTCATATAGCCATGAGGATAGCACATGGGTTCAATTGCTTGGTGGCAGCTGTGTCCCCTTCTGAGCCATGTTTTAGAAGCTGTAGTCAGAGAATGTGCACATCTGAGATGACTATTCCAGAAGTCACTGTTGCTGCATTCTGTAATGCTGTTTTGCAATCAAGGGTGGCTATGCAGATGTCCTTGCCTAAATGTGAGTGGTAACTACAGAAACCATATGTTGGGATCAGAAGTCACACAGAGCCTTAAGAAAAAGAAATAATACCAAGATAGAGGACAGATGGGAAAACAATAAATTTAAGGCTGTATATCAAGTGGATGATGAAGTAGGGTATCTCTAGAGTCAAGGCAGGAAACAATAAGATTTCAGAATGACTCAGGCAGCTGAACAAATCATACAAGATGAAGAGAGTAAAATTTAGTGTTTACTTGGACAAAAGTAGTTCTGAAGATTTTATTACATGCCTGATGAAGTATTGTTAGGATTTCATGTTGAAAAGTTATCTGCAAATCTTATTCTGTTTTTGCTAAGAAAGGTCAATGATGATAGTGAGTTGCTACTTTGAATAGGACTTCCCAAGCTATGTTTGATTTTCTCTTTATATCTACATAAAATTTCCCTAATGCATCAATCTTTACTTTAGTTCTAAATGTATACCAATATTGAATTTCATGGTTTAAGTTTTATAACCTAAAATGACTAGTTGACTGATTGCAAATGGATTTGAGATATTATTTTAGCAACTTTATTTTTGTTTTTTTAGCTTTAATGATACGTATTTCAGTTTTGGTGACAACAATATGAGTGTTTTGATATTTATACATAAATCTATTTTTATTGTAACAAGCTAATATGCTCCCGAGGTTATTAATTAATACATGGTTGTTTCTGTGAATCTATTTACTAACCTTAACATTTAATTTTTAAGTTGCACATCTGAGAATAACCAACTTTACTGAGCCTCCCAATGTGGCAAATGCTTGAGGGTTTTTGTGTCTATGTTCAAAATCCCCTATTGACCGAGGTTGTACCATCGTGGTGAGTGCCTACCACTGAGGCCCACACAGATTTTGACAAGAACTTCCTTGAACTTTTGATGTTATAGTAAAATTCAGAAGTAGTAGGGTCAATGTTACCTTAAAATGACAGCTATGGCTGAGTTTGTACATTTGCTGTATATGTAGCAAGACTCTAAACCAAATGATAGTGCCCAAATAATACTGAACTTAGCATTTTTTCAAACTGGATATGAGAATAGCCCATATTCATTATTGTTGAAACATTCCAATCCTAAACTAGAAATTGAGTTTTATCTTAAAACAAGCAAGCAAACAGTATTGATGGATGCTGAAGAAGGGGAAACAGAGGTAGAGCCCCTGGTAAGCCAGCGCAGCACAGGAACCCTCCATCCCCACTACTCATCAAAGGAACACTTAGCTGGAGGCTCTTGTGTAGTCTCATGGTCCACGGCAACAGACTATAGGAAGTGATGTTGGGCATTCCTTAACTAGAGGCTTTTGTGTAGGCTCATGGTCCATGGTGACAGACCATAGCAAGTGATGTTGGGCATTCCTCTGCTTACAACCAAAGACTGGAGAATGTTTGCCTGGAACACAGTAAAGTAGAAAGTCAAGGGGAAGGCAATCTGAGTCTTGGAGAGAATTTCATTGTTCTGTCTGTAGTGCAGTCTCCTTTGGTGAAAGTTGGTGGATCCTCATTGTAGAGTTATTGTTTGTTTGGGTTTTCTAAGTGCATGTATCTATGCATGCTGATAAGTTTCTACACACCTCCTTATACATAGAAATAAAACCTAAATATGCTCTATGCATACATTTCCAGTGATGCTATATGACTTCTGACATGCTGTCCTTCTATTTGTAGATCCTTGTGTGAGCACTCCAAAGAACGTTGTGAGTCTGTTCTTGGGATTGTAGGCCTCCAGTGGCCTGAAGACACAGACTGCCATCAATTTCCAGAGGGAAATTCAGACAATCAAACTTGCCTCCTTCCCAGTGAAGATGTGCAAGGTTAATGTTCCATTAGGGCATGGATGAACATGTCAGCCAGTTTTTGCTGTCTCTGAATTAGGGAGGGTTGCTGTTGGTTTCTATTTAGTTATCAATTAGGCTTCATGGGTAAGTGATACTAAAATCAACTTGATTACCCTAGAAGGCTCTGGTACCTATCTGTCAGCTGTTATCATGTATAAAATAATTTTAAGAAATGAGAATAAACTCAGGGATGAGCTTAGTCATGCAGATATGTCCCACTTTATGCATATTCCACTCAAAGCTAGTTATTTGTACATGTTGTTTGTTTTAGGAGCTGTGAAGCTAATGACAAACACCAACCCTTGCTTCTTCCAAGTGAAAAGGCAGTGTAGGATTATTAACAGAAAAGTAGACTTGGGGACTGGTCCATCAAACAAAATATTCAAACCACTGGGAAGCTGGGTTATACATTGCACAAGTAATTTCAGGTTCAGGTCATTGTTAGGTGTCTATTTAGAAGGTAGCTAGTTATTGCAAAGCACAGATGCTAACTGGAGAGGTGGTACCAAGGATGAAGGAAATGGATGGAGATGAGCAGAGAAAAGAAAGTCAAGTGAACTCCAGGCACTTCAGCTGTGTGGAGACCTGTTCTATCTTTAGCACTTGCCCGTTCACAATGCTCCAAATGGAAACACAGATGCCAGCTGACGTCTTTGCAACTCTGTACTGTTTCTTGACAGAATGTTCACCGAGCCACTTCAAGTGTCGCTCAGGACGGTGTGTTCTGGGTTCCAGAAGATGTGATGGTCAGGCCGACTGTGATGATGACAGTGATGAAGAGAACTGTGGTATGTGCATGAGGTGGCTTTCTTTTCATGTACAGTGCTAACTGCCCAGTATAAGAAACTGTGCTGGAATATGTAAACGGTTTGCTTGTTCTAGGAAGTGGCATCTGGTTTAATGTTAATGCATTTACTTCTGACATCAACAGGCCATAAGGTATGAGTTGACATGATTTTTCTACTAAATTACATTTTAATTCATAATAAAATTACAATTTATTACATATATGTATATATACATATTGAAAGGAAAAAGGAACAGTTCACAAATCTGAGGGACCATTTTTGCTATTAAATTGCAAAGTAGTTGTTACTTGGTTTATTAGAAGAATAATGATGTCTTGGCATAGTTTTCCTGAACTGCCAATCGGGCATCTGCATCCATGGAGACAGTTCAGGCAACAGTGCTCACATTTAATTGAGATTCATTTTCATGCCCCTCTCGCTTTACCTCTGGTGGAAAGGATAAAATTCTCCTTGACACTTTTCTATTGAGTCCCAAAGTCACCAACGGGGAGGCTGAAGATGTCAATGGCAATGTGAGCACAGTTATTCTCATTTTATTTTCCTGAAAACTGTAATTCTTGCAAGCTGAAATCATGCCAGGGATCAGAACACAGACAATGCGTTTCAACAAACAATGCCTGGCATTGAGCAGAATGATTGAAGTGCTATCTAAAGGCTAGCTTGCTTATGATTATTTAGTCTGTCACACCCCCAAATAAAATTGACACTTTATTCATTGGAAGCACATAAGGCAATATATCTTTTGAGATCATTTCATTCTGTTGGCCTTTGAAGTATGAGATATTGCCTTCCCCCTCAAAATGAATTTTCATAGTACATATTGTCCTCCTGGCCAAGACAAGATGCCATAAGCAATCAACTGAGTCACTATCAGCTACGATAAATATGGATGCACCCTTCCTCTGGAAGATTACAGCTGTCAGGATGTTGGTACTGCGGTCAGTGTAATTTTGCTACAGAGCAATATTTAATAATTTGGGAGCTTACTATAGTTTGCCAGTCTGTGAGCTTTCTATAAAAGATAATAAAAAATTTGCTGTCATATCAGTAGCATATCCAGAATGCATTAGATTGTTCAGTTAAGAATTTTGCTGGGGTATGGTATTCTAAAGTACGATTTAAGATAGATTACCTTAGGTTAATCAAAGTGGTTATATGACTCTATTAATGGTGACTCTGTTTCGTTGGGTAAATGCTTAGTTTAAAAAATAGTGGGTTATGTCGCTTGGGGGTGCACCCCTGAAATCCCAGTATTTGGGAGGTGGAGGCAAGAGGCTGAGAGTTGAAGGTCGTCTTCAACTACGCAATGAGTTTGAAGCTAACCAGGGCTGCTACATGAGGCCTTGAGCTGAGAAAACAAAACAAATAAGATAAAGAATACATTTTGCCAAGAATAAATGGTACCCATTCTAAAATACGCCATGAAACATAATTTCACAGTACCATAACATAGTACTGACCCTAAAATATCAAGATTCTAGTTAAATAATAAGTTTTTTAATAAAAACTTTAATCTTACCATTACCACAATGATAAAGTAAACCAAGTTTTATTTAATTTTCAAATCATCATGTCTATCATTGATAGCTCTGGTGTGAAAAGTTGGAAACTGATAAAAAATTAACCCACCTGGAGCTAAATTGATTGTTTTAATAGTAATAATTCACATGAGAAAATTCACACTAAGGTTTCCCAAGTGACCTGTGATGGACAAATTCCCCTTTGGCATGTATGCACGCATTCAGATGGGCTGTCCAGTGTCCTAGGAAGAGGCATCATTGATGATTAGATAAAGAAGTTAGGCTATCGGGCTCTGAGGGACTCTGGGAACAGCATCCAGTCTATGCTCTGCCATTAACCTCTGTTTTCATGTGCACATAGGCCCATGAGGAAGTAGAAACATGAACGTTGCTCTGACTTATTTTCTATGTCTCTTACACTTAAGGTGCACAGTGCTTGGGACCACCTATCATGAATCCACAGCTCACATAGAAGTTTAAGGACACTATGGGGGGGTTCCCTTAAAAGCAGCATTTACTTCAGTTATGAAATGTTTGATGTGTCAGGAATTAAATTGACTGCGTATTTCTTTAGCGATTTTGTATCTGGAAATGTGACTACCAAAGCACATAAATTATAGAGGTACTTTCAAAATCAATATGTGAGGCATGTGTCATCCAGGCTACTCCAACAAGATCACACGTCTGCCTACAAGGTCACACCTCCTAATAGTGCTACTCCCTATGAGTTTATGGGTGCCAAATACATTCAAGCTACCACACTAACATAAACAAGCATTGCAAGGTTTGCTAATATTCAGAGTGTTTTCAACAAATGCTGGGAGGACTGTGCAACTCTGAAGGCCTCACTGAAGAACTGACCCACAGAAGGGAAGCCTTGGAGACATGGACGGGATTAGCGGAGTCGCCAGAAGGACTTCCTCACCTTACAGGTTCATAGTTTGCAGGGATAAAATATGTAACATATCCATATATAGTTAAACCAGTAGCTCGATAAAATCAGTTTCAGCATAACACTTTCCATGAACCAAACAGTGGAGAATAAACAGGCCTGAACAGAGAAGCAAACATAAAAGACATAAAGAAAACAGTGGGTTTTTGTTTGTTTGTTTGTTTTAATATCACTTATTTTAAGTTATTATTATTATTATTATTTTAAGTTTTCCTTTGGGAGGGAGATACTGTAAGGGTGAAGGGTGGATATAGAAGGACTAGGAAGTGAGTGGAATTGGGATTCATAATGTGAAATTCCCGAAAAATCAATAAAGAAATGCTTAAAAAAGAAAACAGCAATGGGGTTCTGTATTTGATTTTTGCTGTCAGGCTTTCACGTTGACTATATAAGGCTGAGGTTTGCTTTCATTAGGGTTATGACCAGTCTGGGTGAGCTATTATATCAATATGATGGTACCTGTGCTCTGATGCAGACAGTGGGTCTTCTCGGTGGGTCCATTAGATAAGAATGCGGCTTAAGCAAATTCTTTATATCTAATGTAAAAATAAAATCTTTAATTACCTGAATAGCATCATCACCATTAACAGATCACTCTTCTGATAATTAAATAATGAAAACCTCTATGCAGAGAAAAATTGAGAACAATACAAATTGTTGAGTGGCTTTTAATTTATCTTAAAATTAACAAAAAACATGTTAATCAACTATCTTTGGTCTTTTAGTAAGCTCGGATAAGACAAAAACTTTAGATGTAACCAGGATTGTGTCTTAGATTCTGATTCTCTGAGGGTCCACAGAGGATCATCAATGTGATACTTTGGAAGTTTCTTGAAAGAGTTTGTGTATTTTTGTACTGTTTAAGGGCACTGAGGTAACTTAACACACAGAAGGGCTTTACGTGTGGATGAGACTGCTCTCCCTGTAGTCATCAGAAGAGTTAAATCATTGTGTTCATACATGGGCATAGCCCTAAGTGTCCTTTTAGGATGAATCTGTGTGCTTGGTTTCTGATCTCTGAACAGGTCCAATTCCTCCCTGCTAAAGAAGAGAAATGATCTCCCCCTTTGGTATTCTGCTGCTTGGTCCATGTGTCACTGTCTTGTGTTGTATAATGAATAGGCAGCTTAGAACAGTAGAGGACTCTGGGGAGACATAGGCTTGACTACCAGACTCAGTATTTAGAGGACCTGACAATTTTAGCTTTCCATTTCCCTTCCCTAGAATTCACTTGCAAGTTGTGATGCACCCTTCTTTATCTTTTATAACTTAAAAATGTATAACGTTCCCACTCTGATCCTCAGAAGACAGTGGCCAGGATCCCAGTTGCCATGGTAGTAGGGAATCTAAGAGGCAATTCCCTTCTAAATTCACCCTATTCATATTGCTTGGGGAAGTTCTGTTTGGCTTTGTCTTGTTTCAGACAGCTGATTTTGGCAGTGTGGAGTGGATGGACAAAGCTGAGTTGGACAAAGTCCTCAACTTTCATCATAAGCATATATATGAGGGAAGTATCTTGTCCTAGAGACAGTAATTATTTGGTAAAGATGATCCTGTTTCCAAAATTTCAGCCATCCAGAGGGATCCTTAGCCTATGGATAAAGCCTTACTATTCCCTCCTCCTACCTCTTCATAGGGCATTAAGTCACTGTGTGTTAGAGAGGATATGATGTGTGCATCCCCTAGGAAAGAGAAGAATTTGGAAACCTACCAAAACTGAAGATGTAGGTCATAGCTATAGGACCGGTGATGTTTTCACGATGATCAATGCTCAGAGCCCAGCAGTGACTGCTAGGATGGGCACTTGGAGGAGTTAGGATCGTGCATACTCTTGCAGGCTCTTCATGCCTGCCAGACCCAAGCACTGGCTGTCCCACCTCACATGATTCACTCTAAGGGCACATCCACAGTCCTTTCCTGGAGCAGATTCTGACCCAGGGTCTCTGGATCTGAACTGTTTCGCCATTCATTAGTTCAAAGACCCCAAATCACACTTTTCTTCTTCTCCCTTCTTAGCAGCTCTGGCCTGAAGAGTGAAATAGGTTTCATTTCTTGCAGTTAAGAGGATGAGTGGACTTCATATTTGCATAATAAGATTTTTATACATCAAGAATATCTGTTTTGGGGTTATGCTTTGCAGATGAAGTATTATAGAAGTATCTGTATTAGGGTTATGGTATGGATATGAATCATCCTTGATCCCTGGCTAGTAGAACTTCTCACCGAGAGGTCATTGGAACTTGAGGATCCTCACCCAATCTGCAGATTAACTCCATGGATAGATCCACAATTCAATAACAATGACAGGTGGTAGAAACTTTGAAAGATGGGTCTTATTGGAGGAAATGGGTCATTGGGTGTAGATTCTTGGGGGCTGTATGGTGTTATTTTTGTTATTTTGTTATTTTGTCCTTGGTGTTTTTGTCTTTCTCTGATTCTTGGATACCATGAGGTGAACAGGTTTTCCCTATACCAGTCATATGCTTACTTGATGCGGGACTGATATCAATAGAGCCAACTATAGCATATTGTATCAGTAATGAAAGGACTAATACACACACACACACACACACACACACACATCCCACACAGTGATTCACTATCTTTACTTATAACAGCAATTTTTTGATAGAGAAACCAGGAGTCCAATTCATGTAGGGCCTGTCTCTGTCAATGAAACCTGTTTTATAGAGTGTCTGTAAAAATGAGAGGGCTAATGAGTAGACTGCTTAGTGAACTGATTGCTAAGCCAATTTCAGGTAACGAGCCATCCCAGTTTGCCTGGGACCAATGGGGTTCTTGGGACAAGGAATATTTGGTGTTTGAACAAGGAAAGTTCTGGATAAATCAGTTATCAAAATTGATAACTTTCCAGCACTGTACTCCCTTGGTGTGCCTTGTTATTCTCTCTGTGCTGCATGGTTGGCGTTCTGACAACCACTGCTGTTTCATCACATAACCTAAAGCTGCATGAAGTGCCTTAGCTCATACATGTCTGTTCTTAATAGGCTTTCACTTTTCCTTTAGGACATTACATTGAACAATACTTACATCAAAAATATTACTTTGTAGACAAAGTGGTTTCTTCACAAATAATACTACCTTCCACATTACAGATGCCATGACCCCCTTACATCTTATTTCATCTGTTTTCACCATCTCTTCCCCTAAGAGATGTTTGGTTGCAGAAAATGTACAGAAGGAAACGTTAATGCTCACATAATACTCATTTAGGGTTGGAGGTGAGATGAACAGTAGATGATGAATGTCATCGTCTCTTGTTAGTACTGTTCATGAGCATACACTGTAGAAGGCCATATGCCCAATGATCTGTTCCTGTGTTTGTTTTATGTTAGTCCCTCCCAAGTGTACAGATTCTTCATTAATTCCAAAGGTTGTCTTGCATCAGGCTCCTTTCTCTCATCCCTTGATGGCATAGTGGTTTCTCCAACAACAAAAAGTCAGACCTTCTGTGATTGCCCTGCCCTCTGGTGGAATGAGAAGTTTGGGCTGTTGGACAGAACTGGGACCTATGGAAGATTTCAGAGTCCATTTTGAAACTCTAGAGGACATTACCTTCAGAACACTGCAGCTAGGGTTCGCTTCTTCTGCTAGCTGAAAACTCCAAATACTATGACCCTGAGTTCCTTGAAACGATCTGAACACTCCAGATGAGTGGCCAGTGAAGCACTCTTGCCTTTTAACTCTCATATATTTGGGTGATGAAAACACTTTAAATCTAATTTTAGCTTAGTAAAATTTTCATCTGGTGGAACATTTTGATCCTTGTTTGGAATGACCATTTTTAACAATGAGATCTTTTTTTCTCATAATGAATTCCAAGAGATTGCTCTGAATTCTTTGTCATAGGAAAGATGAGAAATGACATTTTCAAAGAGTATCCTTATTTGGTTTTAGATATTTTAAATTGTATTTTCCTAGTAACTAGATTTTTTTGTTCCTTAGGTGAAGTGAGGGTACATTTGAATTAACTGTGTTTCCAGGGTCTACCATATGCTAACCACTGTTCTAGGAGAAATGACAGGCATCAGAAAGGTCAAGGGAACACTTGTCTATAATCAGACAGGTAGATATTGAATTCAAGGACAGATTTTTCTACACAGTGACACCATCTCAAAAACCAAAAGCATGCAACAGTTTAAAGCTATGAAATCATTTCTTTCATACCCTCACAGGATGGTGAGGTTCATGGATCTTCTGGGACATCTAGTTGTAGTAGAATCTTGACATATCTAAGCTGATATTCAAAAACATTGCACTTAAATCAAATGATATGTAGTAAGTGTAGTCGAAGAATTTGCTTCTTTGGGGAGTGTGAAATTGAAGTTCAAGTTGTCAACTCATAGTCCTGTTCGTTTCCAAATTATTTGTCTTCCATACTAGCGGATGAGGTTCCCATCCTTAGATCTTTGATCACTAAAAGCAATGACTTTTACACCTGGCTCTTAAATGAATTTTTGTAGGTACTTAGAATACCAGGACCTCTTTCATGAAGCATACAGATAGCCCCTCAGTTTTTAGACTAAAATTACATTTTAAGATTGCACACATTTATATCTCTAGGATTTGGCATATTTGCTTAGAAGTATAAGAAGTCACTTTGCACACTGGCAAGTTGACTTAGCTGCTTGCTTCTTTTTTTTCCTTTTTCCATTTCCCATATGTTGATTTGGATCTTCTGCTAAGAAAGCTGCTCTGTTTGTTGTGAGGAATGGGGACTACTGGATGCTCCTACTTCCAAAATCACATTATTCATCGTAATCACAGATGTTCAAGCTCTTCAAGAAGAAATCATGCCTTTTACTTATTTGATTAAAAGTCATCATAATTTTCAACTGTGCGTCTATTATTAATAGCTTTTTCTTCTGTCTCCAGGTTGCAAAGAGAGAGATCTTTGGGAATGTCCATCCAATAAACAATGTCTGAAGCATACATTGATCTGTGATGGGTTTCCCGACTGCCCTGATAGCGTGGACGAAAAAAACTGCTGTAAGTACCTTTATAAATCTGTTAACAGGTTTTTTTTTTTATTTTAAACGCCCATTGTCTCACTTTAAATATAAGCTAGAAATTTGGAAATACATATCAAAAGTTTTGAGTTTGTTTAGTTATTCTGATTAAACTTATGTTTATAAAGGTATAGATCCCAAGAAGACAGATGTCTGTAAAATATATACACATATTATTTTAACAATATGGAAAGATTAAAATATCCCCCAGTATCCCAAAATGGATAGCATAAAATGCAACCATAAGATGAAATCTTAAAATGCCACCATAAGATGTTAACATTAAACTCAAAGAAGAGAAGAATAGTTTGACCTGGGTTGATTACACATCTTTAGTTGATGTGGTAGTTGGTTTCCTGTTAAACAGGATGCCCAAGGGAATCAATTTAAGAAGTTAGGTTCATTTTGACTTGGAGTTTGGGATGTTTCAGGCCATTATTTTTGTAGACTCATTGTTTTTGAGCCTGTAGCAGGAAAACGTATCGTGGAGGAGATGAAACAACAAAGATGCATATTAGCCTCCAGGCTGCGTATTAGAAGTGAGAAAGAAGATGCACTGGTCCCTCTGTCTCCTTTGAGGACACACTTTCACGGCTGCAAGATGTCCCTCACATCTTCCTTCACCCCTCTTAAGCAGCTCTCCAGCTTTCCAGTGGCATCATGGGCTTGAGACTAAAACCTCAAGATGTGGGCTTCAAAGCAGTTGAATAATAGAAAATATTCAGTAGTATATTCATCGTTGTTCTGCATTTTAGAAGTATATTTACATACACAAAGAAAATTAACAGAAGATCATACAAAGTTTATGCTTATTTTATGGTGATAGGATTAAGTTTTATGCTTTTGAAATCTTTTATGTCTGAATGATATACAGCCATTATCTGTAGAACCAGTTAAAATTTTCTTAAAGCACTTTTCTTACAAGTAACAGAATGCTCAACTCAAACTAACAAAAATGAAGACATTTATTATTATGTGAATCATACATATATTATTATAGTGAAAGTCATACAAAGTGAATTCATGAGACTATAGTAGAAATACATCATCTGTCTGTGACTCTTTTATTTTAGCTTGACCTCAGGCTAGATGATCAAAAGGCAAGAGCATCTGGGTGGGTGAACTGCCTTGATCATATTCTATTAGAAGAGGGGCAGATTGTGTTTCTTGCTCTGGAATATCACTGAGGGATTCCTGGGGGTCAACACTGGGCAGAGTCCAGTCTGTAGCAAGGGGTCTTTGTGTGGATTAGAAAAGACATTCTCTACAAACATTCAATGCACAGCCCCAGGAAAGGATTAGAATAAGCTGTCTGCTCCAGTCTGGCCTAGTTCCAAGACTAAGGCACGCACATGGCCTGGCTCACAGAGTTTGGGTGGATACTATTTTGCAATGCATAAATCATAAAATCATAGGCCAAGGGTCTGTTATGGAATCACGTTTAATCCTGAACTAATAATTACTCTCAGATAAGAATAGTTGGAAAAATGCCATGCCAATGTTAAACTAATCAAGATCTTCCTCTGGGACTTGGGATGGCTGGTATGGACAAAATTAGGTTTCCTTTTCACGGAAGGAAGAGGGGAAATGGATGCTAAGTAGGTAATCAAGGAGATTTACTATAATTTTTAAAAATCCAAAGGAGATTTATATGTGTCTCAGAGAGTAATTTAATAGTAGGATCCTTAAAAACCTATCTTTCTATGTGAACAGAGCTTTCTTTCCTGTCACGGTATCTTCAGTTTTCCTTCTCAGACATTTCTGTCCTCTTCCTTCTGGGTCCCCCTGCCAGCATTTTGCCAGGATGATGAGCTGGAATGTGCCAACCATGAGTGTGTGCCACGTGATCTATGGTGTGACGGAGAGGCCGATTGCTTGGACAGTTCAGATGAATGGGACTGTGGTACGTTTCTGGTGGCTGCCATCTGCCCTGCATTCTCATGCCTGTCAGCCATTTAAGCTAAATGAATCCTCAATTACCTCATGGGTTTTACCAACCAAGTTCATCTATTTTGTTTCACTGTTTAAAAGTTGACAGTGGTGATTCATGGGTGTTATTTCTAAGTAGCAAAAAAGTCCCCCCCAAGTTACTGCTCTTTTTGAAATGCCTATATTTTATGTATCCTGTTCTGCATTCAAATGTTTGGGAGCATGTCGTTTTTAGATTTAGATTCTATTCATCACTCAAATTCAATAGTGGTGGATAATCAGTCATTCTTGGATCATTCACATCCCCTGACGAGGATATGAAAGTGGTCTCTTCATCGTCTCTATGCCTTGCCCCTCATCCAGATGGAATTTCTTTCAGCTTCCTGCCAAGGGCAGGACCTGAAGACATCTCAGCTAAAGGGGCATCTTGTTATCTTGATTTTCTGATCCGTTCACTCATTCCACACCCAGCACTCTCATTCACACAGCTTCTACCTTAGTCTTTCGCATCCTTTGGCCAAGCCATGAGTTTCCTGTGTGCTGTGATTAAGTACATAGTGTTCCACAAATGAACTACGGCTGACCCAGTGTAGAGGCTAGAGATTTGTGTATATGACACATCAATCTGAAATTAGCGCCACTCAAGTACGTCCATTTTCAAATGCTGAAAAAAATGCGTGGAGTTTCAAGTATCTCCTTACAATTAGTTCTTGCTAATTCCTGGGTAACTTCAAGGCACCAAGTCTCTGCCTCTGGCCATCTTCTAACTTATAATGAAAGGTCCAGAGCTGCCTGTCTCTTTCACTACAGTCTGCAGCGCTTTGAAAGCAGAGACCATATCTAATTCACTTTTTTAAAAGTCTCCTGTCACATTGAGGGAGCAGTGATTTGCACACGAGTCAACCCCAAATGGTTCTCAAATAAAATTAATATGAATGAATGTATGCCATCAAAGCAAAGGCATACAAACCTTTGCTTCTCAGGAGAAGAAGTGTTTTTAATTAGGCTTTCTCGCATTTTTCCCCCTCAGTGACCCTCTCTAAAAATGGGAACTCCTCTTCATTCCTGGCTGTTCACAGATCTGCAACAGAACACCACGTGTGTGCTGACGGCTGGCAGGAGGCGTTGAGTCAGCTGGCCTGCAGGCAGATGGGTTTAGGGTAAGGTCAGTAGTTTGTAGCACTGATGAGTTTCTCAGAACGATCCATGAACCTTAGCAGTAATATCTTCCTTATGAATGACGGAGACATGGAAAATAAGAGCCCTCCAAAGCCCTGGAAATTAATCCGGCGTGAGGAACTTATTTAATTCTAGGCACCTGCTATATAGAGTGTGGACTGCAAACCTGTTATGGTGAAGCCTCGAAAGTAAGTGAAGTAATTGTACTTTAAGCACTTCTGAAATGGGATAGGTTCACTATTTATAAAAGCATTCAGACAGTCTCCTCTGTGGAACCTGGATGGAAAACTCTTCATGTCCCTCCTAGAAGTTATTAGAAATTTGTTTTTAAGCAACACATTTTTTTTAAAGACAAGTTGAGAAATAGAAGCCAAAGCTCCTGGTATTTCTATTTATCCTAAGTAATACAGGAAATATACATCAAGGAAAAGACCTACTCTGGTTTTTACATACCCACGCTGAAATGGATGCTTTGAAATGTGGCAGCATACTGTTTTGTTAGGTGTTCTGTTCCAGTTTCTTCAGCAAAAGAAAGCCGCCATCTGCATCATCACAGAACATATAAAGGATGCTGTATACATATGTATCTGTTATGTGGCATTGTGACTTATTATAGTAGTAATATATGTGAGATTTTAGTGTAAATATAGGAATCAGGAAAATAAATGATAAAGGAGTCTTGCAATTCTAGATGCAAACGCCAGAGTTGATGGTGTTTCTCAGGATCCACTGAGCAAATGAAAATTGTTTACAGCAACGAGCCATTCAGCTCAGCAACTAACTGCATATTTTTGCTATCCCAGTTTGAAGATCATATCACTACTCACATCTTGAGCTCTGTTCCCCCATGTCAAGACCCACGTCTTTGGAAATTTGAGTAACTGGTACTACTTATAATAAAAGAATTTTAATGCTTTCCAGCATTAGAAAAATTATAGCTGTCATGATCCATTAAATTATTGTATCCAAATGAAATGGGATATGATTTTGATTAGATAAATGAAAAACTTCTTGAAAGTGCTTATCTTGGGTCTCTCGCCAGGATCTAGGGGTATTCCTTAATATGAAAATTCAATTACATAATGAGACTAGCTCTACTGAGAGTTCTGAGGATAAGTCAGACCTGTAGATTTACAACCAGAGCCACAGTTTTGATACGCCACCTTAAACATCACTGTTGAACTGCAAATAGAAGAGATCTTGTTCTAAATGTGTATTTCCCACATATTATACTCTTAGCAATTTCAGTTACATTTGGCATACTTAGTGTTGCTTGACTTTCTCAGTTGCCTCGGTCTAGCACATTTCTGTCACCACAAAATTCAACTATGTGCCCATATGTAGTCACTCTCAACTGTCTTTCAGACCCGGTAAATTATTCATATACTTTCCATCTCTATGAATTTCACTACCATTCTGAATGTCTTCATAAGGAAGCATATATCATGTAATCTTTTTTTCTAGATAATATTCTCAAGCATCTGTGTTACAGTATGTACCAAGTCTTCATTATCATTAATGGCTAAATAATATTTCATTGAATTGTTGTACCACATTTAGACTGCTCAGCCACACTTCCAGTGTTATTCCACATTCAATTGTCACTTCAAACATTTGTTTCTACTTCTTCTTCTTTAGAGCATATGAGATTTTAAATAATTTCTTTAACCAGAGTGGATACCGTCAATCCCAACATCAGGAAGTAGAGACAAGAGGCATCATGCTGATGCCTCAAACAAGTTCTAAGCAACTTTCATCTTTGAGTTACAGTCATTGATTGCAAAGTCTTTCTGACCATGACTAGTCTACACTCCCGGTTGGAGAGGAAGAATGGTTTTCCTTCTTTGTTTTCAGAATGGAGTGTCCCCTGTACTGGCTGGCCTCTATCTTTTTGAGTCAAAATATTGAACCTTAGAAATAAGACCTCAATTGGTTCTAGTATTTTCCATCTAGTATTTTCATTTTGTGGAGTATAAGCTTATGAGTACTGATCTTAACTCAACAGTGTGTAGAGGACACAAGGGGAATATCATCATTGGGCTTGATAGTGTAGCAAGAAAGATATTTGGGAGAAAATCAAAGGACATAAAGGTTGGCTTTGTTTTCATATTTGACAATGGTACAGACTTAGAGCAGAGCTCATGGTATTCCTACTAAAAGTGCATAAGAAGAAACAGTAATCTCTAATCTTTGCAAGGATACATTCTGTAAGCACAGATTGAAAATAGCCCTCTAATGTAGTGTCAAGAACTAACTCACCCTTCCTCTAAGACGGGTTTTCATTGACTTCAGCAGGTATATTTTAAAATTAATTCATAAAAAACTTACTTCTATGATAAATTATGTTTTTAGGGATGGCACAGAAATATTTTTGGGAGAGGCCATTGATGAAAAAGATGTACATGGGCTTTTTTTCAGACTCAGATTCTGCTATCCATTTCTTAGAGCAAAAATTGCAGACCTGAAATTGTCCACGTTTTTTGATGAACCTTAAGACTTTCTCTCAGCTGTAGGTTCTTTCAGAGTTCTCCCCAGCCGGAAGCACCATGCTTTGTTGGTTAGATCAAGGTATAAATCAAGCTCCTAAGGTCTTTTGACAGCATATCGATTTCTACTTACAGTATCAAAAACATATGCACCTGTACTTAATGAACAACACAAATCAGAACTTATTCTGCCCTCTAATCCTTGGAAAATTCAGGTTTGTGACATCTGGCATTTGAGGATAAGCTCAGGGGAATGTGACCTTCCACATCTCTATCTCTACAGAATGTGAGCTCCTTTGGAAAATTGTGTCTTGGATCAATTTGATGGGCAGAATTTCTTTATGGAGTTGGCTATAATTTGATTTTTTGCCTTAATCTTTAAAAGTTAGTCAAAAGAAAAGAATCATCCCTTTGGAGACTATTTCTGTATTTTGGACAAAATCACAGATACCATCTATTGTATTACCCAGCTGTCTCTAGTGTTCCCTGGTAAGATTAATGCTGTCATTGCCTCTTGAGGTTTACTAGCTGGGGAAGAACTGTTTACTTTGGTATGGCTGCCATACTCACATGGAACTTGAAAACTGTGTTCATTGCAGTTGGAAGTCCAGCCCAGGATGCTGCTCTCATGCATATTAAGCCCGGATAAATAGCTCATGGTAGTCACAAGGTTTCAAAGGCCGGCATGTAATTTGCTTATCATAAAATTCACCCTTTCCATTTGTACTATTGCAATGCTTTTTACCATATTCACAATGTTATATAATCTATACTGTCTGATTCCAAAATGCTTTTTTTAGCCTCAGCCCACTCTACCCCATCCCCAAAATACATGGCTATTAAAGGCCAGTTTCCATTTACTCCTCCTCCAGCCCCTGATGACTTCTAATCCATTTTCTGCATCTGTGGATTTTTCTACAGAGCACATTTCCCATAAGAAGAATCATATAATGTCTGCTTTTGTTTTTCACTTTTTTCCATTTAGCATAGTGTTTCCCAGATTCATCCATATTGTTAATTTATGATGCTGCAATATAGTCACCTGTAAGCTTTTGCTTGAACATACATTTTCAAGTTTCTTGGGTAGTAAATACTTAGAACTAGAATTACTATAGCAAATGACAACTTATATTTAATTTTTAAAAGAACTGTCAAAGTCTTTTCCAAAGGGGATATATCATTTCATACTCCTATCATCAAGGTATAAGTTATAATTTGTTCATATCCTTGTAAGCTCTGCTTGTTAAGTAATTTTTTGATAGCCAGCCTAGTGGGAATGTGAACATATTTTCACTCTGATATTGATTTACATTTCCATAATTGCTAATGATGTCCAACACATTTTAAAAAATTAGTCTTTCATTTTGGTCTTAGATCTGCAGAAAATATAGAACTCTTTATCCTTAAGGGTTCATTCTTCTCATTTTGTGTGTATTAACATTTGCTTGCATATATGTCTGTGAACCATGTGTATGCTTGTTAATGATATAAGCCTATAGAAGGTATAAAATACCCTGGAATTGGAGTTAACAAACAGTTGTGAGCCATCTTGTGACTGTTTGGAACTGAACTAGGATATTCTGCAAAAGCAACAAGTTCTCTTAACCATCGAGCCATATCTCCAGCCCTAGATTTTATTATTAATTATCTGAAAAAGCCATGTATGCATATAGTATATTTTGATCACAATCATTCCTCATTACCTTCTTTTGTGTTTATTGACTTGGGAAAATCCACCCTACATAACACAATCCAAGGGCTTTTTCACTTCTTGAAAAAAGTGCCTACAGTACTGAGTAGATGTTTGCATATCTTAGTAGAAGTCACATGGAGCAAGCCCATGGAGTGCCATGACCTTCACATGGCAGCTTTGGAGCTTTCCTGAAGCATTTCTCTTGTATGCATGGGGAATTCATTTCTTGTACAATCCTAAGATGTTAGTGTTTAAATGTCTAGGTGGAGAGAAAATCTAGAGTTCAATGTGGATGTTTATAATGTTTCCTGGAATGCTGTATTTTGGCTAGAAGAGAATAATTTTCATGAAAAGGTAGCCATAGGAAGAAAATTTTTTCTTCCACTTTTTAAAATTTAAATTAGAAACAAGCTTGCTTCACATGTCAATCCCAGTTCCCTCTTCCTCCCCTCCTCCCCCATCCCCCACCAGCCCTCCCAAACCATCACACCATTCTCCTTCTGCTCCCCAGGGAGGTTAAGGCTCTCCATGGGGGATTTCCAAAGTTTGTCATATCATCCCTGGCAGGGCCTAGGCCCTCCCCCATGTGTCCAGGCTGAGAGAGCATCCCTCGATGTGGAATAGATTCCCGAAGTCCATTTGTACACCAGGGATAAATACTGATCTATTACCCAAGGCCCCATAGATTGCCAAGGCCTCCTCACTGATACCCATGCTTAGGGGATCTGGATTAGTCCCATGTTAGCCTCTCAGCCATCAGTCTGGGGTTCATGATTTCTCTCTTGTTCAGGTCAGCTGTTTCTGTGGGTTTCACCAGCCCACTCTTGATCCCTTTGCTCATCACTCCCCCCTCTCTGCAACTGGGAGGAAGAGGATTTTTAACAGTTTTTCCATGAGACTAGGTATCATCTTTGAAAAACAAAAGCAAATTATTACTGTTGTTATGAAAACATATGTTTAGGGTCACTAATGGTAAGCTCTAATGGTAATAATGGAAATCTCTTAGCAAACTGAATTTCAAAGTATGCCAGTTGAGCTTGTGAATATTAATTGTGAAATTAAATGGAAAGTTCTTGGTGAGGTAGCGAAGGTCTCCATTATTAACCGCAATGAACAAGATAGGAGCTCAAGTTAATCAGATTTTCTTTCTTTAATATTACATTTGGTTGCAAACAATTCATCATTTAAAAAGATCCCACCAGTGCTTATCAAATAAAAACCAGCTTCCCAGAGTTCTCCTGAGTCAAATACTGTCCAGAGCCAGCCCTTACCATTTTTTTAGTCTTGACTCTAGTAATAACAGGACCAATTGTGAACCATGACATTCAGGAGAACGAATTTATTTTGATCCACACATATCTCCTAGGATATCAGATTCCCAGGCCATTTCAATGGTTAGGCATTGATTTGGGCATGAATGTCAACGAGAACTGGGCAAATAAGAACATGGTACAACTTGAGTGGCCTTCAACACTTGGCCGAAGAGGACTTGAGTTGTTTATACCAGAAGTTGTTACATGGCAGCATCCTTTTGAAATTGCACCGGTCAACTCCTAGTGATGACTTAATTTCTGATCTTAGATCGTCTCACGTTGCCTTTAAAAATTACTTCCAAGTCATCAGTGATATGCTACCTGCAACTCAAAACTATTTATCTTTCCTAATTATATTACACTCTGAATAGAAAAAGTTCAGTTCTTTTATTCTAGCATTTTATAAAATATCAATGCCTGTTGTACTCTACGAATCTTTAAGCATCCCCTATTTTTTCACTAAATATTAGACATTCTAATCTGATTACTGATTACACTCTGAATTCCTTCCAACTAGGGCAGTTTTTCCTCCCTGGTCTTTCTGCCTGGAATTCTGATCTCTACCTGTCCCCACAGTCTCATCATCAGTACCTGTTTGAACACTACTGGTTCACCCATTTAATAACCATAAACCATGTTTAATTTTAGCCCCCTCTCTTAAACTTTTTACATTACCCAAAAGCCAACATATAAAGGAATGTGTAGATTCCTAATGGCAAGGCATAGTAATCATTTGAAATAAAATATTCTAGTTAATGACCCTAGGCAAATCATTTATCTGCAGCCCCCTTCTTTGGAACACATTTCCATTGCCCCTGGTTCTCTTGTTCACTGTCCATTTATCCCTGGGAGACAAATGAGTGCTAACATCTTTGAACAGGAGCTTTTCTTCTTGGCTGAGATGAAGGTACATTAATCAAAGCCAGATGAAAGTGCCTCACTCCCAGACCCTGTGAGCTGCATGGAGATACTTAAAGTTCTTCAGCAAGTTTTGTTTTAGTTGGAACTTCTTTCGTTTTTTTCCTTTTTGGTTACAATATTGATTGAATGTTTGGTTTATAGTTATTAGGAAGCCAGTCACCTGACTTAAAGAAAAGACAGTTGAGAAGGAGAAAACCACTACTTTACCTTCCTCCCTCCCTAGATGCAAAAGCAAATGGAAGTATATAAGCTCTTGCTGTCCACCAGAGTCTATTGTCAAGAAGTGTGTGAGCTCTTGCTGTTCTCTGGAGTCTATTGTCCCATGGAAGTGTGTAAGCTCTTGCTGTCTTCCAGAGCCTATTGTCCTATGGAAGTATGTAAGCTCTTACTATTCTCTTTATGTCTAGGTACAGGGCCCTTGTATTTGGAAACATATTCATTTGCATTCTTAAAGTAAGCAAGGCCAGTTATAAGAGAATCATGGGGCACTGGTAACTTCTAGCTTTAAACAATGATAAAAGTAAACTGAAAAGTGATCAGCACTTTCTTTTTTTCATTTAAAAATTTTTTTCATTTAAATTAGAAACAAGCTTGCTTCACATGTCAATCCCAGCTCCCTCTCCCTCCCTTCCTCCTCTGCCCCTCCACCAGGCCTCCCAGACCCCCTCTCAATCCCCACTCCGATCCCCAGGGAGGGTGAGGCCCTCCATGGGGGATCTCCAAAGTCTGTCATTTCATCCAGGGCAGGGCCTAGGCCCTCTTCCAAAAGTTCAGGCTGCAAGAGCATCCCTCATTGTGAGATCGGCACCCAAATTCCATTTGTATGCCAGAGATAAATACTACCCAAGGCCCCATAGATTGCCTAGGCCTCCTCACTGACACCCACATTCAGGGGGTCTGGATCAGTCCCATACTGGCCTCCCAGCTATCATTCTGGGGTCCAAGAGGCCCCCTTGTTCAGGTCAGTTGTTTCTGTGGTTTAACCAGCCCAGTCTTGACCCCTTTGCTCATCATTCCTCCAGCATTTTCTTTAAAACCAAAACAAGGTGTGGTCAATAAAATGCTTTAGTTAAAATGTTTGAGTCTCATATATCAAAAAGGCATAGGGATGCCCCAAAATGTCTTCTCTAAGTTATCAGAAAAGATATGGGAATTTCTAGGAGAATATCCAAGTGTTTAGTCATGAGCTCTGTGCATTCACTATGGTTAGTAGTGAGCCCTGTACATTCATTATGGTTAGTGGTGAGTCCTATGGGTCCACTGTGTTTAGTCATAAGCCCTGTGCATTCACTATGGTTAGTAGTGAGCCCTGTGCATTCACCACTAAATCTGCTTAGTACCAAGCCATAGGCAGCATTACCAGTGCTGATTCAGTTTTGTGCATGAGAAACATCTCAGGGTTTCAGAATGTATAGACAAAAAATTTTTATAATAAAACTCTGTTCTCCTTAATGATGGGTTTCTCAAACTTTCCATGTGATGTAGCAGGCAAAAGATAATTACTTTTCTTGTTGGAAGCTTGTGAGTGAATGATAAGGAACACAACATGTGGTACCTTGTGGGTCTTTTCCCAAAGTAGCTAATGGACCTGGTCCTTTAGATATGAATCACCTCAGAGAAAAACCAATTAAACCAAAAAGGATGGGGTTTTGTATAAAGACCTAAACTCTTCAATACTTAAGGTTTTAAATATTAAAAAAAACAGTGGAAGCATCTTTAATTAGTGTAACTGAATAATACAACCACTGGAAAATGTCGGTGAAAATTGAGTGAGAATATACAGAACATGACAAAATTACACCGATACATTTCCCAAGTCCTTCTTAATTTTCAGTGCATGAAGTTTCGTGATATAATGGGGAAAATCCACTTACAATTTTCTTTTGGTTTTTGGAAACAGGGTTTCTCTGGGTAGCTCCCATTGTCCTGGAACTCACTATGTAGACCAGGTTGGCCTCGAACTCAGTGATCTGCCTGCCTCTAGCCCGTAAGTGCTGAGACTAAAGATGTGCATCACCACTGCCAAGTCCACTTACAATTTTAAAATACTGAAGTAGTAATTGGCCTTTGATTTTCTGTAATTCGGGGCCTTGTTATATTTCAGGATTATAACAAAAAAGAAAGATGGAAAAAAGAAATAAACTTCATTGTTTACTTTTGATTTCTGCTTTTAGGCTTTGGAAGTTTTAACTTTTAGATGTTAGAATTGTAACACCCCATGGTGTTCAAATGTCAGCAGAGAGAATGACTAAAGTAGCTGCAGTAATTTGGTTTGTTATTGCCTATGTATATATACTTTTACTAACTCCCTCACCATTTGCTAATCATGCCCCATTCCAAAGTCTTCTGAATGAATTTCTTTTCTTGAAATATTGATTTTCAATGCGATATATACTTGTAACTAAATATTGGTAACACCCATAGAAAGATCATTATATTTTGAATATTTACCCATTATTTTTCTTGTATCAGAGAACCATCTGTAACTGAACGAACAAAAGGACAGGAAGGCCAGCATTGGCTGAGGTTGCACTGGAGCTGGGAGAATCTTAATGGGACCACCTTGCAGAAGCTGCTGGTGCACAGGTAGGAACAGCTCCATAGCAACCATGTGTGTAAATTATGGAGCAAGGGCTGATCAAGAGCATTTCCTCCATGTTTAACATGAAAACACTCAAAAAACTTTCAGTAAATAACTTTCACAGAGCATCTTTTAACCTTCACCTTTCAATATTTATTTCCTCTTCATAAATAGGATTCATTTTGACAAATTTCATATTTAGTCAGAACTACTGGTACTATTATGTTAGGGGCAAAACTTCAAATCTAATCTTAAGTCTCCAAATGTCTTGTTGTGAAATGAACTCTTACAGCTGCATTCCCTACAGATACTGTGTTGGACTAGTTAACAGGAGAAATTAAGCAATTATGTTCAAAAATTAGAGCATGAGAAAATAATAAACACAAAGTAAAACTAAAGCCATGAAGCCTTAAAAGTCTTCCCCTCTTAACTGATGACATACTAAACAAGTCCATCTCCTTTGATTATTGAGGCCGCAGAAGGAAAGAAAGTGGATTCCTCTTGAAGATTTGTTTTTGTTTATGTACCTGGGTATGTGAGAGTGTATACATGTAAGTGCAGGTGCTGGTGCGTGAGGCCAGAGGATGTCAGGTTCAGAACTCTGAGTGACAGGCCTCCTGATGTGAATTCTAAGTACAGAACTCAAGTCCTCCGCAAGAGTGCTACATACTCTCAACTGCCAAGCCACCTCTCCAGCCTCCTCCTTTTTAAATGATTTATTTTGATTTTTAATAAGAACATTTTTGGGGCCCTGGGGCTCAAAGCTAACTCTTCATACATCCCAGGCAATTATTCTTCCACTGAGCTATATCCCAAGGAATGATCTCTTAATAGATACTTACTACATTACAGGTACTAATCAGGGTGTCTTATCTAGACTGATTCATGAATTCCTTTCAATAAACTCCTGAATTATAATTATCTTATTTTAACAGCTGAGGGAATTGAGGGTTAGATTTAAGGATATTTAAACCAGTTTGTCAAAAGCCTATATAGTGTAAGTGATGGTAAACTCAAGTTAATTTATCTAACTACAAAATGTAAGTGCTAGATATATGACCCTTTAAGAACCCCAAAGAAGAAAACTAATGGTAGCTTTTCATCCCTCAGAAAATCTTAAGTTTTTCTCAAATTTAACTCCCAGATGTCTTAATACTTGGTCAAATGAAATACTTTCTCCAAACAAATGACCTAACTATTTCAACACAATGATGTTCCTCTAAGATGGGTGGGTAAAAAGCCCTTCAGGTCAAATAAATGATTAAATAACCATCTACTTTGGGGGGTTGTAGACCTGACTCACTAGCTAAATGAGCTATTATGTAACAAGTTTGCTACAAGGAGTGGGGTTGGATAATCTTTATGAGTCTCTACCCAAAAGCCATAATTTTTAAAAATATAATAGTTCACAACTCATTTTCAAGTGTAATTTTCATACTACATCCAGGACTATTCTCAGAAAGGTTATAGTTCTAAATGAAAGGAAAGAAAGATTTGGTCCCAAGGAACATATATCAGTTGACTACATTCCAAGATTTGAAGGCAGTGTCCAACATCATTTCAGATATCACAGGTACAAGGCATAGAGAGATAGCTCAGTTGATAAAGTGCCTGCTGTCTAAACATGAAGACCTGAATTTGGACCCCTGGCATTAATACTAAAAATATCTGGAAGTGTAAATAATCTCAGTACAGGGAGATAGAGACAGGAGAATCCCTGGGGCTTGCTGGGTAGACGCTCTAGCCAAATCAGTGAGCTCTAAGTTCAATAATAGATGCCATCTAAAAGATGTTGTGAATGACTAAGGAGGATAGAAACCAAAAATGATCACTAGCCTCTACATACATAAGCACACATGTACGCACACAAATACATACAAATGCATGCTATGCCCCTTGGGATATTATAGAATGAATTCAAGCACATTTTTTCTTGTCACCTCTTCCAGTTTAACTTTGGCAGTCTGGGAAATATGTTTTTCTAGTCTAAGTGTCCATTCCTTTATCTCCTATTTAAAAACATAAAGCAATATTTTATTCCTCTCAGCCTGTATCTCAGTGTGAGAAGATAAGAATTTCTTTTTCCACAAATGTGGCACCTTGTTATGATATCAAATAAACAACTAGTGTGCATTCTCCCATTGAAGGCTTTCACTATACCTGAGTCCTGAGAAGTCTTGCAGTAAGTGCTCAGAAAGTATGAAACTCCCCTGATAGTGGACCCTGTGTTGCCTGACTTTGATAATATGCTTCAGGTAAAAAGTAAGCATGCAACTTAATATTATAACATTTTATGTTTCCAAACCTAGGGAGTCCTGTCCAAGCAGAAGTAAGATTTCCCTTCTGTGTACTAAGCAAGGTGAGATTGGTGGTATATCAAGGGACTTGACATTAATTTAACTGGGGTGGCTCCTGGCAAACAGGACCATTTATGCATGACAACCCGAGCTCAGAATCTACTTGGGTTTGGTGATGAATCATGTTCTATGATTTCTGCTCCTTGTTAGACTGTGGTCGCCGCCCTGCAGCACGAATGAACAAGAGGATCCTTGGGGGTCGGACTAGTCGTCCAGGGAGGTGGCCCTGGCAATGCTCCCTGCAGAGTGAACCCAGCGGACACATCTGTGGCTGCGTCCTCATTGCCAAGAAGTGGGTTCTGACAGTTGCCCACTGCTTTGAGGGGTAAGCTCCATTGTTCTATTTTACTTTTCTCTGGATCTTATAATTTGTTGCTTGAAAATTCTCGGTGGTGTATGTAACTCCCTGAAGTCTTTTCAGCGCAAATATCATAGGCACTCTCCTTCTCAGGCCTTTATTTGTGGAGACCTTTCTGTCCTTTTCATCTTCTGCTCACCAATGGCATGTGCTCAGGAGGGAGGGAAGATGAAGAAGTTCAGAGGACCGACTCCCAAGCTCAGCTGAGCCACTCTTCTGGACATCTTAAGTGTACTATGCACATATATGAATACACATGGAAATGGTTTGTTTGGAAACTGCATCAGGCTTAGATGAACAACTAGTAGGTAGTTTTGGAAGTAGAATTAAAGGTACAATGTTTGTGTTAGGCTTCTCAAAGACACAGAACCAAGGCTTTGTCCCAACAATATCTCTCCCACAAGTTTTGTGTGGGTCAGAAGTGAGGTAGTCTATTTAAAACCTTAGGAACCATGCCTGGTGGCAAGCAGTAAGACTGAAAAATGTGTATGTGTCTTTAAAAAATATTGCTGTTAACACACACTGTGCATTTCTCCCTGCCGGTGTGTTCTGAGTATGCTTGCATTTCCTAGGAGTCATTGTTTAGCCCCTTCCTTTCTGTTACTTCCTTATCATCCTGAATCAACCCTTGTTACAGCCTGATGAACATTTCTCTATTGCTCCAATCGCATTAAGTTGTTCACATGGTGTCGCTGTTGATTTCCACAATTTGAGGTGACATTTTGTACATTGCTAATGGTCTTCTCCTTTGGTAATATTACATGGGCATCCCTCTAGGTCAGTTCTTGTAACACTAATGTATTCCTTTTTATTTTTTTCAAATTTAAATTAGAAACAAGGTTGCTTCACATGTCAATCCCAGCTCCCTCTCCCTCCCCTCCTCCCATGCCCTCCCACCAACTTCCCCCAGACTCTCCCAATCCCCACTCCATTCCCCAGGGAGGGTGAAGCCCTCCATGGGGGATCTCCAGAGTTTGTCATTTTGTTTATTGCAGGGCCTAGGCCTACCCCCAAGAGTCCAGGCTGAGAGAGCATCCCTCATTGTGGGATGGGCACCCAAAGCACTAATGTATTCTTTTGGAAGCTAAGTACTATTCTGTACAGACTTATGAATTTTTCTACTAGTCTTAAGTTGATGAATATTTGAGATCCTTCCCATTTGCTGTTATTATAACAATGCTGGGGCAAAGCTCCTAGGGGTGATGTTACTTCTAGAGGAGGGTGCGAACACACTCAACTCTGTGTGAGGATTACAGACATGGATGTTTGCTCCTTGAGAAGCTTAATAAGGAAACATTTAAAATTTTTGAGATTATAATATAGTTACATCACCCCTCCCTCCCTCTAGATTTACTCATGTACCCACCTTACACTCTTTCAAATTCATGGCTTCTTTTCTTTTAGTTGCTCTTACATACACACATCTAAATACATAAATAAAACCTACTTAGTCTACAGTGTGACTTGTATTTACATTTTTTTTCAGGGCTGACAGCTCAATATTTGATAATTAATTTATAAACTCTTCCCTGTGGAAGACGATTTCTCTTATTCTCAGCATTCCATAGTTGCCTATAATACCCTGTCTAGGCGTGGTATTTTAAATAGCTGTGGCCTCCATAGACTCATGTGTTTGAATGCTTGGCCATAGTGAGTCTCGCTATGAGGAGCTATGGCCTTGAGTAGTGTGACCTTGTTGGAGGAAGTATTTTACTGTGAAGGCCCATTTTGAGGTCTCATGTGTGCTCAAGCCATGCCCAGTGGGACAGACTCCTTCCATTGTCTGAGGATCAAGATGTAGAACTCAGCTCCTTTTGTAGCATCATGTCTGCCTGCACACAGCCATGTCCTTCCATGATGATAATAAACTAAACCTCTAAAACTGTAAGTCACCCCCAATTAAACGTATTCCATTATAAGAACTGTCGTGGCCATGGTGTCTCTTCACAGCAATGGAAACCTTAAGACACTAGGTTTGAGGTCTCCTGAAGTCCTCCTACCCCCATCCATGTTAGCATGTCTATTAGTGTCATCACTGTTCAGGACACAATCTCATATCAGACTCCCTGATCTTCTGCCCCCCTATTCTGCAATGATCCCTGAACCTTAAGTGAATTAGTTATGTTGTAGATATGTCAGTTGAGATTGGGTTCCATATTCATTTGATTGGTTGTAGTTTTCTGTAGCGGTCCCTATCTGTTGCAAAGAGAGGTTTCCTTGATGAGATACAAGAAATATACTTATCTGTCTGTGTAAGATAAATATTTAGAATGTAGTTAGGGTTTGTGCTGCTTTAGAATAGTAGTGGCTGTAAGTTCCTCCAAGATCCATTATTTCACTAGTCCTACATAGTTGGCTAGGTTTCCAGCACCAGACACAATTTCCTTCTTGATGAAGGGGTTATAAGACCAATTAGAGGGCTGTTGGTTACTGCCAAGGTATGTGTACTAATACTGAAAACTTAGAGTTATTTTCTCTCACTGGTCATTGCTGTGGTTCACAGGTAGGACTTTTGATTGCTTCCCTCCTTTAGAAGTTTTCATGTCACTTTCTGATATTACAAAAACCAATCTTTCAAATAATATCCAGCTCAAAGCCCTCTGAGTATGTCTAAAGTGCATGGTCCTCCACCTCTGCAGAGTAGTCAAGGGCAATAGCAATAGCCTATAATGTTTTGGGAGTCTCTTGGATAGCCCCAATCAACAAAGGTGACAGACATTTAAACATGCATTCTGAATACTTGACAAATGATGATAAAATGAAAAAATTGTGATAAAATTTGGTCACTCCATTGGGGAAAAATAATACATAAGTATCAAACCAGTACCTTCTCTTGAGAATTTTCATATGTGAGACCCAGAATGACTGAAAGCTCCAAGAGTATGTTTAGAAACACACTGTGATGGTATTGCTTTAGAAGAGGCTAGGTGTTTCCAGATGTCTTTTCCAGTTCTGATTTGTGGCCCACTGCAAGCAGAAGGTTACTCTAGCCAAGCACATCTATCACTGGTGATTGCCTAAATGAATCCACGGCTCTTCAAGGGAGCAACACTCCTAATGTTTACGGGCTGCTCTTGTTGTTTCCACATGTGGTATCAAAGTTTCCTCCTGCACTGGAGCATCCATACAGTGAAAAGGGAGGCTTACAAGGCGTGTGCTTATAATTAATGACTTGAAAATGTTACCAAAAACCTTGAAGAAGTTTTGTGAATTACAAAATTTAGCAACTGTCAAGAGGGGTCTGCTTATCCTTATGAGGTTAGGGATTGCCCAACTCGAAACAAGTGCTTGCTTGCCTGTGTACTCAACCTAATTCTGTTTTACAGTCTCTCCAGTGGCACTGCAGGCTTTTCAGAACTTTTAATTGCCAGGCATACTCTCTGCTGGGGCCAGCAATTGCTGCAATTATGGGGATTTACTTCATATCCTGATCCCATACTCTGGCAAGGCATAACATGATCCATCTGTGGGACTTTTTATCCTGTCTCTTTTAATTATATTGGTGGGAAAGGAAAGGCAATTTGCTTTGCATTTCCACGGAGAGGTACTTAAAATTACCAAATAAAAATTAAAACCATGAGATACTAAGTTGACCAGATGAAGCCCCATATGACTCAATACCAATTCAACTTCAAAGGTTATAAGGAGGAAGAAAAATTGACATTCAGTGGTAGCTTAACAGGCGATTCCCTCCCTTCCTTCACCCTGGAAAGACTGAAGGATGAACTTCCTGGGACAGCCCACAGAGAGTAATGATCAAAGCTTCTAATGCCTTCCCAGGAAGCTTGTATGCAAGGCTGCATGTCCACAACCTTTAACCCTGTCAAGTCTCCTGTGTCTTGATTTCTCCCAACCCAGCCAGTCCAGAATTTTGACTGTGTATATGCATCTCTGCCCATATTACCTAATGTTCTTTCTCTCCTCTCAGCATTTATGGTTCCATAGGTCCAAAGAACATCTGTGGTTTGACAGGAATCTTCAGCATTTTCATCCTTGGATCCTTCTGCCAGATATAGCAGGAAGACCTCCAAGGTGAAGAGCACATTTTGTAATTTTTTTCATGTTCTTAAGAACAGAGACAGAACACTACTCAAAAAGAGAAAGAGAGATGATTTGTGCCATGTCTGACTTTCACCATCAACTGGATCTTTAATAATCCCTGAGGATCTTTCCATTTAACTCTAGGAAGCTCCTATTATTTGTCACAGAACAAATCATGCCCTTAATGTCTCAACTCTCCTGATCTGACAGTTTTATAAATCACCCAGAAGGGGAATTACTGATGACTTTGTTGTGTCCTGAGGATTACCCCTTCATCTTGGTGTTTATGAACTAGGTCAGTCATTCACAATTTGTTTTTCCGTTTCATCTTCTGACAGGATTCCATACATTCCCATCAGTAAAAATGTTCATGAACACAGGAATTTCCAGCTTTGGACTCATACTTCTCTTTGGTACTATTCTCAACATGATTGAAGTATAAGCAACTGTAGTTTTAAAAACTGCAATCTGGATCCATGTTCCCCACTTCTCTTCCTCCTATAGAGATATTCCAATCTTCTCTCCAGGACAAAAGAAGTCTATAATGTAGATAGTAGTTGACCTGAATTACCAATCACCATAGTCTCTGGAACTTCTAACACTAACTGTTTCCCTTCTACTTTTGATTAAAAGTAAGATTTAGTCAAATTAAGTTTGGCAAAGTTTAATTAAAAAACTTTGCTATAGGGAAGCCTTTAGAACTAGAAGAAATAGAAACTTACTGTTTCTGGTGTCATCGCTTCTTTTTCCAGTACACCGAACCTGAGACAGAAAGGCTGACCTTTGTTGGAGACGTTGCTAACTGATCTCATGACCAATGTGTGATGCTGAACTTCAAATGAGCATCTAACTAATGCAACAGACACTTTCATAGTCAAGTCTTTTTTCACCCACAAGAGACAGTAATTATTTGATTGTTTTTGTGT